GGTAATGCACCTTAACGTTGGATGCCACCCGCCATAAAACATGAAGAAGAAGAAGCGTACTGTTCGCGCCGCGCTGTTAGTTCGGTGGCGCTAGTAAACACGTCCTCTCTGCGCTGTCGAGTCGGTCGCGCAGCTCGGTCCATTGAGCCGCGCCTATGACAGGTCAGCGCGGCGCGAACACTTTAATACTGCGCTGTTTCGTCCCACATTTGAGTTGTTTGGCTTCCCATACTCAAACGCTTCTCACAGCGCTGTTTAGTGGTCTCGTGATCGAGATCAGTCAGCGCGTAAACGCATTTGTTCTGAGCTCGCGCTACGCTGTCTTTAGGCAGAGCTAAAAAGGGTGCGTGCAGCGCGGTTCAAACGAGTCGCGCTCTTCCGCTTTTGACGCGTTTAGGAATTCGCGTGCGCTAAAGAAATGAGAGCGCATATGAGTTATCAAATTGATATCACTCGCGTTTTACTGCTACATCTGGTCTAAAATGTAGTGCTGCCATCTTGTGTTGACATTTTGAAACTGCATAGGCCTATTTTGTAAATTATGCTTGGCGGGCCATATACTGTATAACATAGACTATTAAGACAGCTGCGGGCCGCTTAAAATTCATCCACGGGCCGCATTTGGCCCGCGGGCCGTAGTTTGGACACCCCTGGACTAGATGCAGGTAGGCCAAACACTAAAGTTATGGATTATAGAAAAAGAAACATTATAGAGCAGGGACTTGGTTAAATAAATAAAGTTGTTGATTGGTTTTTGAGGAAATGAACCTGTTGGAGCTTTGTTGGAGAAGTCCTGCATACGTCACCAGAGAGAAGTCTGTAGTCAAAAAATCAAGCATATGCATGAATGAATTGTTCACAATAAGATCTATAACAGGGGTGGCGAATGTCGGTCCTGTAGAGCCGCAGCCCTGCAGAGTTTTGCTTCAACCCTAATCAAACACACCTGAACAAGCTAATCAAGGCCTGAAGGGTTACTAGGAAGCTACATGTAGGTGAGTTTTTATTAAGGTTGGAACTGAGCTCTGCAGGACTGCGGCTCTCCAGGACCGGAGTTCGCCACCCCTGATCTATAACATGCATTTAGAAAATATATACATGGTGAATTTTCACTTCAAGAAATTCACGAGTTTGAGTGCCTGCATAAAA